GGGGGGGGGGGGGGAAGAGGGGACACTCGACGCGCGTGGGCAGACCATACCATGGGCAACAAATTGGTGAAGCAGCTGGACAAGGCCAAGAAGAAGGGCGAGAGGGTCATTGACTTGCATGGCAAGGGCATCTCCGACTTGCCTGACGAAGTCGGCCAGCTCGACGAGGTCCTCCTCCTCAACGTCTCCGCAAACTCGCTGAAGGATCTCCCGGACATGCTCGGCAACATGTCCTCGCTCACCTCGCTCAACGTCTCCCTCAACAAGATCACAGAGCTGCCCTCCACCATCACCCGCCTTCGCAACCTCGCCCGCCTCAACGTCGCGTATGCTCACTGCCGTACTCGCCCCCCCCCCCCTCCCACTCCCCCTCCACGCTCTCCCCCCAGCGCAGCTCGTTGCCTGCGGAGAGCTCCTTTTTGAAGCCATGGCGGCTTGCACACCACCCACTCACTCTCGATTGCTTGACTCTACAGATGCAACATGCTGCCGACGCTTCCTCGCGGATTTGGCGGCATGAACGCCCTTGTCTTCCTTGATCTCTCCTGCAACAAGCTGACCGAGATCTCCAACCAGATCGGCCTGCTCAACACCCTGCACGAGCTCTACCTCTCCGACAACCTGCTTGAGGAGCTTCCCGAGGACATCGGCCGGCTGGAGAACCTGGAGATTCTCTACGTCACCAACAACCAGCTGACCTCGGTCCCGAGCACCATTGGCAACCTCTCGCAGCTGCACGACCTCTCGCTGATGCAGAACGATCTCGTCGTCGTCCCCGCCGAGATCGGCTCACTCTCACAGCTCACCCTCCTCCGCCTCGGCGGCAACCCGCTCATCGACGAGATCAAGGAAAGTACATCGAGGGCGTCGAGGTCTTCAAGGAGTATCTCCAGTCCGACGCGTACGTTGAGGACGCCCGCGCCCATCTCGATGACTCGTGATGGCTTAGCCCTCTCTCTCTGCTTCTCTCTCTCTCCCCTCCTCTGCCACTCCAGGCGTACATACACAACAGCCCCTCCTCCCACTTTCTCTCTCTCTTACATTGCACGTTCACTGTGGCGCCCCAAAGAACGCACTCAGCTTCTTCACCCCTTCAGGTTCGTTTGCGACAGCCGCTTCTGCGCCGGTGTCATCTTGGACGCAGCCGACGCGGTCGAGCTCGACTTTTTGAATCCCTTGGAGTAGTCCTCCAGCGGTGCAATGTCGGCATCGGTTGCCGCCCCGCTGCTCGCGCTTGTCTTGGCCTTCTTGGCTGCTGCTGCCCGGTCGCCGCTCGTCGTCACCCCGGTCACTGCCTCGCTCAGCTTGGCAGCCCACGTCTCCGACACGTAGTCTGAGACCAGCGCGACGGCAAAGCCTGCAAGCTCGTCGCTCCGCTTGCGCTTCTTGTTGCGCGCCGACGACGAGCGGAAGCCTGAGACCGCCGCCGCAGACACCAACGCCATCTCGCTCGCCCCGAGTCATCGTCGTCGCCCTGCGCGCTCACCGCCGCCACCACCGCCTCGACCTTGGTCTTGAGCCATGCGACCACACGCGCCTCGTCCAGCCGCCAAAGCGAGCTGTCATCGCCCACCGCCTCCTTGCCCTTGCGCTCGCACAGCGGGCTAAAGTCCGCCACCAGCGCCCCGAGCGTCCGCCCGAGCGCCGGGCACGACTCGCAACTGAGGATCTGGTCCCGTCGATGGAACGATGTCTCAATGCTCGGACACCGCTCCAGCACCGCCAGCATCAGAAACAGCGGATCAAATGGCGTTGCAGCATACATCTTGCCATCTACACCCTCCCCATGTCAGCCCCCGATGCCCCATGTCAGCCCCCAATGTCCCTCCCCTCTCCCGTCAGTCAGCCCGACGCAATGAATCTACACACATACACCGCCTCCACCCCCCCCTTCCTCCCCCCCCCTCCCCCATCCTCCCCTACACCCTTGAACCGCCGCATACCTGTATGAACACGATCATTAACAAACCACGAGGCCTTGTCCTTGTGGGCCATGTACGCGTTGACCTCCATCAGCCGCGTTCCCCGCAGCAGGTAGTACACCAGGCGGTCATAAGCTCGCGGGTGAGGGAGCCGCAGCAGATGGCCTTGGCTGCTTCCTCCACTGGGCACCACCCACACCCGTCCGGATGGCAGCGGTGGTGTCGAGCTCACCACAGGGCCGGGCATGGTCGTCTCGACTCAGTGTCGGTGTCGTCTCGAGTGGGGTGCTCCGTGTGATGGGGCGGGGGGGGGGGGGCGAA